GGTTTTCTTGGCAAAGATACTGGAGTGATTTGCCATTTCCTTCTCCAGTTCATTTTGCAGATGAGGAAACTGAAGCAAACAGGATTAAATGACTTGCCCAGGGTCACACAGCTAGGAAGTGTCTGAGGCCAGATTTGAATTCAGGAAGATGAGCCTTTCTGGTTCCAAGCCTGGTGCTCTATCCACTAGGCCACCCAGCTGCCCACCAGTTACTGCTACTAACCACATTTAAAACACAAACACGCAAATACTCCCATAACACCTTTGAAAATTGCCTGATCCATGTATTCTCTCACTGTGTCCTAACAATTCTCCAAACGTAATAGGCATGTGTGCACGTCCCAGTCATCCCAGGCCACAAGAAGGCATCCATACTGGCTTTCCACCTCTAGTCTATAAAGCGAATTACAAAATCGAAGCCTTCCTGGTGCTTAAAACCCAGTCAGTGCCAGGCTTCCAGATCACCAAAACTCAAACTCTAGATACCATGGAGGCTTGCAAATAAGCCAGAACAAAGCGTAGACAGGCAAAGGGGAGTGACGTTGAAGAAGCTTGCTAAATGCCCGTCCCTCTCCCTCTACACATGAATATAAAAAATTCAACGAGAATTTTAAAAAGTTTTTTTTAAAAGATCCCTTGAAAACAGGGCTTTAAAACACAGAGTATAGCAAAGGAATAGAGAATGGTAACTGCATCAGCATGGTAGACAACTGACCTTAACACAGACAGAATGATGAGGCAGCATTTGCCAACAACCAAGAAATATTTATTGAGCACATCTAGTGTCTAATACATGGGGCTAGTTTCATGGCCTTGCTAAGGAGAGATGCCTTTCCTCTAACAAAGGATGCGTACAATATGGCACATGGGACATCTGCTCTCAGCATGGCCCTCTGCTAAGAACTCAGGGGCAGGGGTGTTTTCAGAGGTTGCCAAACACATGGTTGGCAACTGAATGAAAACAGAATTGGGAAACATTTAACAAAATAAATGAAAATACAACAGAACATAGATAATGTGAATATGTGATTTTCTAAGTCCCTCTGAGGCTGCAAGAATCATTGTGTAAGATTTATTGGCCCTTCTTCTATTTGCTTGACAACGCTAATTCAGAAAACCTAAATTGAACAGAATCATCTGAGTTGAGGAAAAAAAAAAGAAAGAAACCTTGCACAAAGTCTGGCTGCCGAGTCCCCCAAAGTAAGACAACAAGCCTTCACAGGAAAGTAGAAAGGTGAAATCATTATCCAACAAAGGGGGAGGGGAATGCTTTCACTTTAGACTTCCTAATTATATCAAAGATAAGAGTAAAATGCATACTAGGAGCCTCAAAAAATGACTATAATTGCCCAAATCCTTGATTTTTTATGTGAGAGAAAAATTTGAAAAAATTCTTGCAGGGCCAGTAGGAAGAAAAGGGTATTTTCCCAACTAGTCACCTGCCTGGCTTTCCTGATGTAAAAGTTCACCCTGCAAAACAGTGGGCGTGATGCCAGTGTACCATCTCCAGCACAAGCTTATGCTACCTATCCCATTTTCCCACGATATATCCCAGTGTAGCAGGCCTAACAATGATTGTGGTGGGTATTACAAGATCAAGAAATGACCTTCAGCAAAAATAAAGCTATGTAACATCCTGGAACATCCATCTGCCCCCAGAGGCCTCCCCACCCTGGAATATGCACCCACCTTTCTGGCCTTTTCCCATTGGTGAATTCCTCCTGGGACCTTCACTTTGGGGAGGGGGCCAGGCTGGCCAACCTCCCTTCCCTTCCTGGCTCTGCTTCTGATTTTCTGGACTTCAATATCATGTCCTTGTTAGGGTACCTCTCCATCTGGTATGTCATTTTCCCCTATTAGACTGTAACTCCTTCAGGACAGAGACTTTCTTTTTTGGTTGTATTTATATCCCCAGTGCATATAGTAAATGTTTCTTAATAGCTAGTTCTCTTAGTCTCTAAAAATATGATTACAATTCTTTTTTAAAAATTTATACACAACTTTTCAAAATCATAACTATTAGGTGGAGCAAGGTATATGTTTTTCTTAAAATGGGATATTCTAGGGGAAAAAAGATCCGTATTTTTAAAATCCGACAGATTACCAGTCTTGGAATCCGGGGTAAGTGGATTTACCTGTCCTTACTTTATTTATTCAAGCTGATGAGAAGTGATATCAATACGCTGTTCATAAGAGACAAAAGTCTAACAAAGTTCTATGTCAGGGTGTTCCTTTATTGTGGCACTCTCCCCATACTCCACCCAAAAGAGACCCATGTAAACCTCCTGGGGCAATTCAAGTTTATTAGATTCTACAACTTGAGGTCAAGAAACTGCTCGACTACTTCCTGAAAAAAAAATCCTTGAATCACAAGATTTTATCCAGTAAAAGTCCCCTGCCCCATTCAATACAATTGGATTCTGCCTAAGACAGATTAGCACAGTGGATCCCAACTATCCTTGACACATACTGACACTCACTCCCGCAAAATCAATTAACTTCTTAGCACTCCAGGCATCTCTCTGTAAGACTGTAAGCAGAAGAAATGCTCCTGGGAATGGCCAAAGAAGTTTATCACCAATGAGTTTCCCACACCAAGGAAAATCGCCCATCCTTGTCTCAACCAGGGTCCAGTTCTGATTCTTTTCAGTTATTAGGATGAGATTTCAGAACAACATTCTAGATATGAATTGTGTAAAAGCCATAAGAAGTCAGCTTCATGTGACTTCTGGGATAACGAAGTCACTTCATGTTTACTTGTTCATCTTATCTCAAAAAATTTGGGAGAAAAACCAACAGATGAACATATATATGTGTATACAAACACACATACATACACACGCATACACACAATATACATATAAACACATATACATATGGGTATATTATAGACATGCACATATACATACACACACACACATACATATAAAATATAAGACCAGTGACTCAGTCCTAAGGAAACCTTACTTTGAGTTACAAAATAAATATGCAGAAAGATCATTATACTTCCAGACTAAAATTTACAAGAGTGAAAACATGAGGCAAATAATTTCTTCCAAAGAAATGTGACTTCTTGCTTTTCCCTGCAGCTTTAAGCACTTGAAATTCATCTGCTTCTATCAGGAGAAACAAGATAAGCTCTGTAGTCTGACACTATGTTTGGGACAGCAGGGTCTGTAGGATGCTTGTCATTACTCTATTGCCTCACATAGTTTGCACTCATTATCAGGTCAAGTGGTGACGTCGGAGCTGCCAAGAAACCGCTGAGTGTGCACTTCTCTCCCATAAATGAACATGTTCAACTCAGATTGCACTCATCCAGCTAATGGGGAGATTCGTGCTCTAAGAAGGGATTTCTCTTCCGTGCTGTTACACCTAGGGCTCTCCCTCACTAACTCATGACTGCATCCACAAGGCTGCCTGCTTTTCCTCTTTAGTTTTTAGGTAAAACAGACACTTCAATCACACACTGAGTTCTCTCTGAGCTCAAATGCTGAGCTTTATAGTATTTGAATTATCCCTCTCAACCGACTGATTCCATCCATCTGAAAATAAACTACAATATGAAAAAAAAAATCTGTACAAGCTCTGTTCTTTTCCCATTTTGCACGCAGACGGGTTAATTTTCTGGTAGGCTGCCTTCCTACCTGAATCAGAATGATACTGCAAAAGAGGTGGCTTTCAGGCCCCCTTTTGGGTAGCTGAGACAAAAGGTTGTATCTGTGTCCATTCAACTCAAGCAGAGTTTTGGCAAAGTAACACTTCTTCCTGCCATAGTTTGGGATTCTATGAGTAGCAATGGCTGCTGCAGAAGACCCACTACTCTACAGAAACAAGTTAGAAGAGCATTCAGATATGACTAGCAGCCCAGCCAACTCCTTGATCATAAAAGCTAACAGCTCCTTCCAGACCCTTGTCTTCTACCAGTATTCCCTTCCCATCTCATCTCCTCACTTCCACTACCAAGTGCCAAAAAACAAGATGCACAAGGCTCTACATGCCCCTGACATGCTTCAGTTGTTACCTAGGTAATAAACAAAGGCACTGCCATGCCCAACACTTTATGTTTTCACTGTAAACCCTAATGGGCTTCTAGGAATATCTTTCCACCTGAACCTATACTTGCCCAACTACTTCTACAACAATTTCTAGGTAAAGCCCTGAAGGGACCATAGGAAGTATACTTACCAAGGAAAACTGAGAAAAAGCAAAAACAAATATGGGCAAATAGATGGGAGGGACCTAAGAGTTTGAATGTGACATGTGAAAGCTTCATAAGCAGGGACCTCTTGGGAGAATTTCAAAGTATTTTTGCAACAAGTTTTAAATTTCCTTATACACATGCACAAAGCCAGGAGGGCGGGGGTGAAAGCAGGGAGTTTTAGGAAGCCAACTTTTGTCTGTTCCACTTCCAGCCCTGCCAAGTCTGAGAAAGTGGGGAGGGTGCCTCTCACATTCTGGATGGGATTTCAGGAAGTTAGTGATCTCCCTCTTGTGATGGAAGATTTTGGTGTAAGCTTTTTTTTTTTAATGAGATCATCCAAGCACTCCATCCATGTTGCATGAGCACTCATGTTCTATGTATTGGTGCTCCTGTTATATGCATGTTTTATGCACACACCATCGAGCCCGCCCCCTTGTTTTTCCCACGTGCACTGAGGGTTTTATCACATCGGCTAAATGAAATAAAAAAGCAAGGATCTGACAGGCAATGGGAAGGGGACCCAGGACTCCAGTCCAGAGAGTCAGCATGGGCTTTGTGCTCTAGGTGCAGGAGAGAGAAGGATGTTAAAAGTGTGCAAGGGTCACACTAGGAACGGGGAGGGGACCCAGGACTCCAGTCAGGGTCAGCATGGGCTCTGTGTTCTAGGTACAGGAGAGAGAAGGACGTTAAAGTGTGCAAGGATCCCACAGGGAATGGGGAGGGGACCCAGGACTCCAGCTCAGAGAGTGGGCAGTAGAGGAGGATGTAAAGTGTGTGACGCCCCCCGGGTACTCACCGGGACCTCTGCAGCTGCTCAAAGGCGCCCACCTGCCCCGACTGCTCAAGACAGCAATAGTTCTGCGAGGTCTGTCTGGAGAAGGAGATGGGCAGGATTCCCTGAGTGAAGGAGTTGAGGCGACTCCGGCTGCCGCTCCCACCCCCCGGTGTCCCGGAGCCCAAGAAAGAGGCCGCCGGCACCTGCACCGGGGCAAAGGCGTCGTCTTCTTCCAACTCCTCCTCCCCTCCCTCCCCCGGCCCGTCACGCTGCTGCCGCAGCGGAGGCTGCTGGAGCGGAGGGGGAGGTGGCTGCCGGCTAGCCTGAGACTGTTCCCCCGACGCCCGGTCCACACTCAGGGGGCTCATGAGCCCCCGGGCACCCCCGCAGTGGGGCGCTGCTGCAGGGGGATAGCAGCCCAGCTGCTGCTGCAGCAGCGCACAGGCAGTCCCTCCAGCTGCCGCCGCCGCCGCCGCGGGCGGGTAGAAGCTGCCCTTGTCGGCGGCCGACAGCAGGCTGAGCCGAGCCCGGACTCCGCCGCCCGCGGCGCCGCCTGTCCCGGACCTGGCCGCCCCGCTCTCCTCGCCGCTGCCCCAGTCCTCGCTCTGCAGCGGGGGCCGCCCGTCCAGAGAGATGTTGGTGAGGAAGGAGAGGGCAGCCTGCCGGCGCCGCGGGTCCATGCGCTGCTTCCTGGGGGGCTCGGGCTGTTGCTGCTGCTGCTGCGGGGGCTGCCTCTGCTGCTGCTGCTGCCGCTGCCCCGCGCCCGTGCCGCTGCCCCGGGGGCTGGCGTCGGCGGCAGCGCCTCGGCCGCCGCCGCCGCTGCTGGTGCTCTTGCTGGTGTTGCTGCTGCTGCTGCTGCTACTACTGCTGGTGGTGGGGGTGGCGGTGGTGGCCGCTGCAGCCGCCGCCGCCATTGTCTCCGTTTTCAGCGATGCCCCGATATAACGAGGAGGCGCGGAAGGGCTAAGCTAGGGAAGGACGAGCGGGGCCGGCGGCAGCAGCAGCGGCGGCGGTGGCAGCGGCAGCAGCAGCAGCAGCGTGCGCGGCCGCAGCTACCGCGCTCCGGCCCCCCGCGTGGCATGGCATGCAAGCCTCCCTCTGCCCCGCTCTGGCCCTGGGTGCACCGAGGGGCGGGTGGGGGGCCCTCCTCCTGGGGACTTGCGGGTGCGCTTTTCCTCTCTCCCCTAGCCCTTCTTGTCCTCCTCCTCCTCTTCTCTCTCTCTCTCTCTTTCTCTCCTCTTTCTGCCTCCTCGCCTCGCTCCCTCTCTTCTTCCTTGGCCGATGTTATTAGTATTTATAGGTGCACTCGCCCTGCGCTAACGCTACGAAGCGCTCTTTGCAATAACACAGTATCACGTGTGGGAAATGAAACCTGGGAAGAAAACAAAGCTGCAGCCAGCGACCGGCTTGGGGGGGGGGGGGGGGGGGGAGGGAAGAGGAGGAGGAGAGATGGGAGGGGGGGCGGCTTGTCTGCGCAGGGGGCGGGAAGTTTGGACAGGCTCCTCTCTCCTCCCTCTGCCTCCTCTCCCTCTCTCTCTCTGTCTCTCTCTCTGTCTCTCTCTCTCTCTCTCTCTCTCTCTCTCTCTCTCTCTCTCTCTCTCACTCTCTCTGTCTCTGTCTCTCTCTCTGTCTCTTTCTCTCTTTGTCTCTGTCTCTCCCTCCCTTCCCCCTCTCCATCCCTGCTCCCTCAAACCCTCTCCCCCAGGTGAAAAAGAGCATTGGGTCGCAGCACAAAATGATCCAGGTGTGTTTGTCCAAGCATATATCTTAATTAGAGTTATGTGGAGCATGACAAAGTGTACCCATAAGTAAAAATCGCTCTCAGTGGTATGAGAGGATTGATGTTGGGTTAAGAGAATTGGTAAGTCATAGAATTAACTGTCAAAGATTCGTTTATGCTCCACTTTGCTACATCCTCCAAAGGGAGGGAAAAAAAACACACAAAAAATTTAGCAGTTAAATCTCTGAACTTTGACAGATAATGGTGGAAAGAGCACTGAATTTGAAGTCCAAATCTTTCCTGTATTGTATGTATCTGTGTGGCCTTGAGAAAGTAATTTCCCTAAATCCTTAGTCTTCCTCATCTATAAAATGAAAGGGTTGGTCTCTAAAGGCTCTTCCAGCTCTAAAAATTGTAAGCCTATAATTTACTTGTGGCAGCTAAGCATCCCTGACCCCCATTTAGGCAATTGAATCACACTCCCCCCACCCCCTTTTTATCTTATGATCTGTTTTCCCTGTTTGTGAAAGATTGGATAGTAGACTCGTGGAGGCCTTGGTAGATGGAGCTATTAGATAAGTTCGTATCTTAGAGATGCATAATACTCAAACCAAAGGCCTAGTTCATTTGTAAATCCCCATTGAATGAAAAATTATTATTTTTCATATCTTTGGAGCCAAGGCCCCTGGGACAGAATAATGCTTGGGGCCTCTTTATAGCCTACTAATGTTCTTTTCACCCTTCTTTAAGTATTGACATAAAATACCCTCTAATCCTTTCTGGAAACTGTCACCTCCCTCCTTAAGTGGCTATGGTTATGGAAATATATACCAGAGCTGGGACTTGAATCTGAGTCTCCTAACACCAAATCTATATTCCCTCTGTCTCTTTCTCAAAGCTCACTTTTACATAGTTGCTTTTCTCATAAAATTCTGTGAGATAGGTAGCCCAAGTATTATCATCTCCAATTTACAGAAGAAGAAACTGATTGAAAGGTGAAGTGAGTCGATCAGGGTCACAGTGTTGGTGTCAGAGGCAAAAGCCATAAGGCTACTTTTTGGTCACTGAAATAGGATTCATTCATTCAGTTCATTATTTTATGTTTCCTGACTTTAAGGTCCTTTGCTAGTCATAAACACCAGGGGAGGAATACAAGTGGCATAGAATCTAGTTCACGGCCTCTTGCACTTTTCTTATCCAATCTTGAGTGCTCTGTCTAAAGACAGCAAACTCCACCTGCCAGGGACATCATTCAGAAGTTAGTCACCTGAAGAGGTGTGGTCATACTTTGGTATGATATGGATGACTTGCTTGTCAGCATAAGCTGACAAGTTTCTCAGGCTCACTGGGTTGAACTTTGTGACATCCAAGAAACCTCACTATGCTTTTCTTCGAAATAAAATGTTTTGAGATCAGGGATTAAATTTAATGGAAGGCTTAAACTGAGCCCTGCAGCTAATCGGTCACTTTACATGGAAATTCCACTCCATTTCAGGTTCAGGAAAGTAAACTGAGTATTGAAGAAGGAATATACCACCAGTCCTGAAACCGGTAGCCAACAAGGAGTGTGGCTTCAAGTTGCATTTGCCAAAGACAAACAGTACATTCCACATGGCACATCCAGGGTCAAGGGTTGTAGACAAAAAAAAGACAATGCGTTAAAAAAAAAATTTTTGCCAACTTTTTTATGCTTTAAAAAAACCAAAACAATATGGAAAGTGAAGTCTTTCCCTTGCTTAAACAGAGTAATTTAGCAGCCTGATCCCATGCACTGGTGACCGTGATCTGTGCAGTTTAGTTAGAAATTCAATTACTCTGCTTAAGTAACTACCTTGAAGATTTCAAGGTGCTTATTACAGCTAACTTAATTTACATGACCACTGGTCATCCAATGCAAGGTCACAGAATTACTAACTGAATGAGTTTAACTCTTCTGTTCATTAGCCTCAAGCTTGCCAGTTTCCATTTTTTATTTAAACATCTGTCTCATTTGTCCACACTTGGTAGGTACTTAAGCAGCCCCAAAGGATGTTTCTGGGGGTAGCAGAATAGAGGGAAAAGGCTCTTTTAGTTAAAAAAATAGCTGGGAGAAATTTTAAATACACCACTGTATTTGTCCTAAATTAAATTCTTCATTCATATCTCAGTTTGACATGTAAAATCTGAGTTCGGTTCCAAATTCAGTCAGTTCCATGATTCAGTCAACAAATGAACTAATTGAGTATCTGTCATATGCTATACCGCTGTCCAGGCTGTAGGGTCATTTTTTAAATGTACAAAAGGGTGGACCCTGGGATCTTAGACAATATCTGATTAGGTGCTCAAATTATTGATGTAGATTGTGAGTATGAGGAGTTCAGAAAAGAGAGACTTTCAGTAGTAGCTTGAACAGTAGGAAAAGGCAGTAGGGAGGTATAGTGCGGCTTGTGTTCAGAAGGATAATTAGGATTTAAATATGTATAGATCAGGGATTCTTAACCTTTGGGGGGTCATGAACCCCTTTGGCAGTCTGGTAAAGTCTATGGACTCCTCAGAATAACATTCTGAAATGCATAGAATGCAGAGTATTATAAAGGGAACTAATTATATTGAAATACATTATCAAAATATTTTAGAAAACAGGTTTACAGACTCCAGGTTAAGAACTTCTGGTTCAAAGGATGGGAAAAGACATTTTAGGAAGGCAAAATAGCATAGCCCTGGTGGGTTAATAGCAAAGAGAAATGTAACTTGAATGAAACTTCTAAAAACCTTTCTCCTAGCCCTTTTTTTTAGTTGTTGGAGGGGGGCTAGGCAATCAGGGTTAAGTGACTTGCCCAAGGTCACACAGCTGGTAAGTGTTATGTGCCTGAGGCTGGATTTGAACTCAGGTTCTCCTAACTCCAGGCCCATGCTCTATCCACTGTGCCACCTAGCTGCCCTGCCTTTTTCTTCTTCTTCTTCTTCTTTTTTTTTTTTAACAAACTTGTTTTCTGCACTGTACTACCCCTTGTGTCCATCCAAAGAAAACATTTCCATGATTTTGACTCACTTGACTGGCAGAATGGGGGGAGGGGAAGTGCAAAATTAATTGGCTTTCTTTTTTGACAAATAAGCAGTTTGCCATTTCCTTCTCCAGTACCAGATACAGACAGGCTAAATTGGAAGTAATCAGCAGAAAGAAAGCACTAGCACTGAGGGGGATTGGGAAAGGCTTCTCTTAGAGGCACTAAGAATGTGAATTGTCAGTGTTGGCCCAGATTAGCAGATAATTTTAAGTTGGGTTACATTAGACAGGTTCTTTGGCTATTATTGGTAGACCAGAAGCGTTTTATATCATTTCAGAGAAGTAGGAATGGAAAGGTTAGTCTAGACCATGGAATAGTAGAGCTAGAAGGTATCTGTTCCATCTTCTCGTTTTACCGATGACAAGGCCCTATTTGTTGATATGAAGTCTCGAGGCTGTTGAGGAGAAAAAGCCAGGACTAGAGACTGCCCTTCCTGACTTCCACTCAGTTTGCACTTAGTCCATACGGACAGTATCTTCTGCCACTCACCTCATCTAAATAGACCTAATTCCTTTAGGTTTCTAAGTTCTGTTGTAAAAAAGAAGCAAGAGATGGCACATTTTGGTGACTAAACAGTCTCTTAGTTGGGTATCACAAAATGATGGAGAAAGTTACCTGTCCAATCCCAAAATGCCTCAAGCTAAATAGGGAGACACCTGATACAGTTATCCCTTCTGCATCTCGGAGGTTAGGGAGATCTGGAGAATCTTTGTAAAAATTTTGGGCCATCCCTTTGTACCAGAGAAGTCTAAATTATTATGGTATTACAAGGTAGAATATATTGATATTATACAATGCTAATGAGAAGGGAATTTATAATTTTCATATTAATCGATGAGATATGTGTAATGAATATACTAATAATTTAGTTTTCTCAAGAGCTCTGGCTCCGGAGTCAGAGCTCACAATGCAGCTTGAACTGATTAATCAAAACTCTGACAATGCTCACCATCACTGGACCTTAAGTGAAGAGAATCAAAGATTGTAGAACCTGTTCCTATCCACAGAACTCTGGTTCTGTATGTTAGGGGAGGTGGTCACGACCCCCAAAGACTTGTCTCCAGAATTGTGTATTGTGGGACTTTCGGGTTTCTCGTGGGAAACCACTAAATGATTGTTTGTAACCCACCTTTCCTCCTTCCCCAGTTGTGATTTAAGTATATAACCTGTGCTAAGAGAACATTCCTCAATCTGAAAATTGATTAATTAAACTACTTGATTACTGGCGCTCCCATC